TTGGTCAGAAACTCACATGCCTTCCTAGAATTCCAGCTTTTACCTGGTTTTCCTTAGAAGGTTTTGTTTTGTGCAGTAGAAGAAGATAAACTTAGGGTCTTATACACGCGAGACAAGTGCTCCACCAGTCACACGCCAAGTGCTCCACCAGTCACACGCCAAGCCCCTATCTGTTTCTTTAAGACTGTTTTTAATCTGACCTCACCCCGTCTACTTGTATTTAGTTTTCGTTACTCCCCAATATAAACCTTCCTTAATCAGGCCAGACTTCTCACTGTTTAGGAGCGAGCGAGCATGCACGCACACACAAACACCACAGTTAAACACATCCAAGATTTGTTCTCCATTGCATGTCAAATGGTTGGTTATTCCTGGCACCTTCCTTTCAGAAGTCCCTGCCCACTACCAATTCCAACCCGATGTACCTTTTAAGTGTGCAACATGGGCGGTGGTGGCCCACACCTTTAATCCCAGCATTCGGGAGGCAGAGGCAGGTGGATCTCTAAGTCTGAGGCCAGCCTGGGCTACAGAGTGAGTTCCAGGACAGCCAGAGCTGTTAAACAGAGAAACCGTGTCTCAAAAAACAAAGAAGAAGAATTAAAAAAAAAAAAAAAAAAAGATTTGTTCATGTCCAAGAAATCTCTAACTTTAGTATCTTATTTCTCTAAATTTTACTACACCTATAGCTAATAGTGATTAATAGTTTATAAAAATTATGGCTAAAAGATACACACGAGGTGTGGTGGTTCATACTTTGTAATCCCAACTCTCTAGAGGTAGGGACAGGAGGCCCTCGAAACCAAGGTCAGCCTCAACTGTCTCTCAACAAGTGAACACACATAGGGAATTATTTGTCAGCATAATTGTTTTGTCCTTCATTCCTAGGCAGTCTTGCTTTGTGGCCAAACTGGTCTCAAACTCACATCCAGAATGGCCTCAGTTTTACAATCACACCTAGATTTTTTTTTTTCTTTTCCCTTTTTTCTGAAACTGGGATTAAAGGCATGTGCCACCACTGCCCGGCCTCACGCCTAGATTTTTAACTACTCATAAATACACAGTTCAGTAGTAGTGTTAACTACATTCCTTTTTTGGGGCAGCAAGTGTTACCTAAAACCTTTTCCTTTTGCAAAGCTGAAGCTCTATACATAGAAACTCCCCATTTTCCACCCTCTTAGCCTCTGGAAACCACGCCTGCTTTGTCTCTGACCTTGTCTATTCTAGGTATCGTTTATAGATGGAATATTGAGGTATTTGCCTTTTTGTGACTGGCTTGTTTCATTTATTATAAAATCTTCAGGAAGCTGGGCGGTGGTAGCCTTTAATCCCAACACTCAGAAGGAGAGGCAGGCGGATCTTTGTGAGTTCGAGGCCAGCCTGGGCTACAGAGTGACTTCCAGGACAGGCTCCAAAGCTACACAGAGAAACCCTGTCTCGAAAAAACCAGAAAAACAAAACAAAAACCCCCACCCCACCCCCCCAAAAAAAACAAAAACAAAACAAAAACTTCAGGCTTTGTCCACTTTGTAGCATGTGTGACAGGACTTCTTTCTGTTTTGAGATGGAATAAAACTCCTATTAGTCCCGGGACTCTCTGTGATTTTGTTTACCCACGCTTCTGTTCATGGACCTTCCATCAACGGTCCCTTCCACACATGGCCGTCATGAAGAATGATGCTGTGAACATGGCTGTACAATTATCTCAGCGGTCACTTTCACACATGGCCGTCATGAAGAACCATGCTGTGAACATGGCTGTACAATTACCTCCCCCAGACTTTTCAGACTTGTTGGACTTAGGGATCACATTGCTAGATCTAATTTTCTGAATCTTAATAATAGTTCAGGAGAGTTCCATCTTCTTCATGTCCTTGACAAAACTTATTTTCTTTTTAAATGTCCTCACCTTCCTCAATTGTTTTTTAGATTATTTCCTGTAAGTTTGTTCATCTTAACTAGGTTTCAGCATTTTTTTTTCTGTTGAGATAGGGTCTCAAGTATCCCAGGCTGGCCCCAACTCAATAAGTGATTGAAAATGACCTTGAACTTGAGTTTGGTTTATTTAGTATCTGGGATAGAAAAAAAGGTTTCACCTGAGCTACATCCCCAGGTCCAGATTTCAACATTTTCGGAACAGTGATCTGGTCTTGTTCCTCTGTGGGCCCTTAGAGTGTAATCTGTACCATCAGGCTTTATGTACTTGTTCATTAAACAAAACGGAAAGTTCGAGTCGAGTTCTGTTATTTTATTCTTAGAAGTTAGGCTGTAGAATTTCCTTCCCAAATAGAACATGCTGACTGACATGTACAGACTGAGCACACCTCCAGCATGCTACATCATGGAGCAGGTGATCTGCATAGGGGTGATGTCACGGTTGCCGTCTCCCTCATTCCAGAAGCTCTTAGGTTTATTTCTGCTGAAGGTAGTTGTTGGGGGCAGCAGAGGTGCAGTGTAAGTCAGGTGAACCCAGAAGACCCTAGAATCTGGGCCTGGCAATACAGCTAAGTCAGTAGAAGCTGATCCCCAAAACCAAGCAAACAATCCCCCCCAAAACTGCATGGAGCTGGGCAGACGGTTCAATGGGCAAAGTGCTGAGTACAAGCTTGTGTTTGGATCCCCAGCACTCCGGTAAAAAAAGAGAAAAGAAAACATGTCAGGTGTTACAGTGCCGGTCTGTAACTCCAGTGCGAGGAGAGTTGTGGTGTGTGTGTGTGTGTGTGTGTGTGTGTGTGTGTGTGT